AAGCCCCGAGATCCAATGCGCCATTGTCCGTTCCTCCCTTCGCACGTGACAACATGACACCGCACGTGCCGCCCTCTTCATCTTTCTTTGTCTGCAATGGGATTCTCACCTGAAACCCAAAGCAATTCCCATACCAAAAAAAAACACAGCTTTTCTGCACACCAAAATTCCACTCCTCCCATCTGATATCCTCTCGCAATTAGGGTTTCGCTTTTTCCTTCATTCCAAATCAAAATCCATCTCTTCTTTTTCATGCGATCACGGTTGCCGGAGTTTCTAGGGGGGGCTTACCTTTTTCTGCCACTGCCAAATGGAGTCGATACTCGCGCTAGCATTGGAGTACACACTCAAGTACTGGCTCAAATCCTTCTCCAGGGATCAGTTCAAGCTGCAGGGGCATACCGCACAGCTCTCCAATTTAGGTGAGTTTGTTGATTGGATCTGAGGTCGGCTCAATTTTGTTTTCATTTCTGCATTAATTTTGATTGGTTTATTTATTTTAATGTTCTTTTTTGGGTTTCCGTCAGATATCAATGGTGATGCCTTGCATGCCAGCATGGGATTGCCGCCGGCATTGAATGTGGCTACAGCCAAAGTTGGAAAGTTGGAGATAATGGTTGGTTATCTTTTTGATCACCTGGAATGAATGCTTTCGATGATCATTTGATCTTTAACATTTGTTTGAGCTCCTTAATATTGGAAAATTCTGCTCAGTTTACTTCACCAGTTTTTTTGCAAATTAACTGTTCAAGTTCCTTTAAAAAAAGGGGCACAATTCCTTTTATACAACTTTATTGATTTGCTGCTACTATCTGGAGTAGAAAATTGAGCTTAAATGAACCAAATATTGTAGGTGATTATTTGTTATTTGGAAGATGACCGAACTGCATTATAAATTTGAGTTGCTAACATTTTCCTTCATTTTTTCAGTATGGTTCAAAAAATAAAGATTTTCATTCCATGTTCCTCACTGATTTCTCTTCTAAATTAGTTTAATTTTTTCCTTTTAATAGCTGCCTTACGTAAGTAATGTACAAATCGAGCCAATCATTGTGCAAATTGATAGGCTTGATGTGGTTCTGGAGGAAAACCCTGACGTGGATGCATCTAGGACCACAACCAGGTAATGTAAATTCCCCCTTGCTCAATATTGTTTTTTATATGTAGTAAAAAATGGTTGTTTTGTTTCAAACTAGAACCATGTTTCTAAATTCTTATCATTAATACTTATAGTGTGTTTATATCATTATAAAAGAAGTACCAAATTCCTTTGCTCTTTTGGTTGCAGTAAACAATCATCCACTAGCTCTACAAAGGGTGCTGGTTATGGGTTTGCTGACAAGGTTAGATACCATCTTTCCTGTGGTTGTATATAACTGTTTGATCTTCAGAGTTCAAAAATTGACACATTGTCTTATATCAGTTCTCTCTGTGTATATGTGTGTGCGTGGTGATGGCCAATAATTTGAGAGTCTTACATGTGCTGGCAGCCTGATGCAATCTATCTTTATGTGGCCGCATCTCTATCATTGATGGGAGAGATGTTAAATGGGATGTCTAATTTATTTATTAACTTCTTGTAATTTTTCAGATTGCAGATGGAATGACACTACAGATCCAGACTGCCAATCTTCTACTTGAAACTCGAGGTGGTGCACAACGAGGGGGAGGGGCAACTTGGTAATTTCTTGCATTTTCTTTTTATGTGGTCGCAAGCTGCTTGAGCTTGCTCTTTGTGTCTTTTTTCCCCCTCAACTATATTCAGTACCTGTTATAATATTTTCAACACTTCTTCTCTGACTAAGACACTGCATTCATCACCTTTCATGACCAACATTAGTACTTTATATTTTACTAGAATTTAATATGGCTTAGGAAACTCATTGAACAATGCATTCTAAATACTGATGTGGCATAGCTGTCTCCATTTCTAGACTTTTGGAAGTTGCTGTTCATATCTACAAATAATTGTAAGGCCTCATTACATAATGTCATCTCATCTCAAGTAAACAACATCAATTGTTGATACATGAAGATAAATTTGAAGGTTGTATGTTTTCCCATCTGTTAATTGCTTGTTTTATATTATTTATAAATGCTTTTTATTTAAAGCTCTGTTTCTGATGGTTTAAAGAAGTTTCATGTCTTCTCATTCTTGATTTGGTTGTGTACTGCTGAGGGAAATCTGCTTAGATGGCAGGTGTCTTTGCTTCTTCATCTAGATATTATGGATGTGCAATCCCTTCTAGCAACCTATGGATACTGTTCTTATTTTTATTATGGTTTCAGGGCATCACCTATGGCTTCTATCACCATGCGGAACCTTATACTTTACACCACTAATGAAAATTGGCAGGTAACTTAGTTATTTCATATTCCAATCTAATCGCCCATCTCACGGCTGTCTTCTCAGTATCGATATTTACTTGAACAGTTTCTGCTTTCAGGTTGTAAACCTTAAGGAGGCAAGGGATTTCTCTTCTGACAAGAAGTTCATATATGTTTTCAAGGTAATGCATTATGGATATTATTCTCCCGCTTCAACCATCAATTAATTTCTGTCATTACAAGCATGTTTGTCACATGTCTCATTTTGTATGTCTTAAGTTACTGTCTAATGATGCTAAATTCTTCTATTGCCAGAAACTTGAATGGGAATCTTTATCTGTTGATCTCCTGCCTCATCCAGATATGTTTGCCGATGTACAAGGGGGAGCAAATCACAGAGATGATGATGGTGCAAAGCGAGTTTTCTTTGGTGGAGAACGTTTCTTAGAAGGAATATCAGGAGAAGCTAACGTAATGCAAATCATTCATTTTCAAATCTGATTCTGGGTTTGCTTTTTTTATTCATTTTTTTTCCCTGTTACATTTTGCTGTTTGGCATTTCAGGGGTTTAAACCCCTAACCTTGTCCCCAAATCAAGACTTTTAAGTTAGTGGGTACCAACTTGGCCAAGCTCTTGCTGGTTGCTTTTTTTACTGCTGTTTAGTGTTATGGCATTTCTAATTTCTTTTATGTGGTACATGACTTATGTTAACCTCAAATTTTTGTTTCAGATCACGGTGCAGAGGACAGAGTTAAACAGTCCACTAGGCCTTGAGGTTCAGTTACATATCACAGAAGCTGTTTGTCCTGCATTAAGTGAACCAGGTAATTAGGTATCATGTTTTCATGGATTTGGTTAAGCTGGGTTTGGCTCCATTCAGCATGGATGGGTAGCTAAACTACAAATTGATGAATTTGGTTTGGTTTAGTTGAATTGGGCATCATATTTTCAGGTTACTTTTTCATTATTTTCTTTTGAACGTGTATGTGGTACTGACATAGCATGGAACTGTCATACAATGATTTGAGCAGGACTTCGAGCTCTTCTCCGCTTCTTTACAGGATTGTATCTATGTCTAAATAGAGGAGATGTAGATCCAAAGTCCCAGCAGGTTTTAAATTGTCTCATTGTAACTTATCTTTATATTTACAATATTGTCTTGTTAACTTGTTCTGGAAAGATCTTACCAATCCCTCTCCTGCTTTGACTGTGATCCAACAGCGATCTGCTGAAGCAGCGGGACGTTCTCTGGTTTCTATTATTGTGGACCACATTTTTCTCTGCATTAAAGATGCTGGTTTGTGTCATTCTACTGTGTTCTGTTGCAGTTTGCTTTCTCTCTCTTTCTTATTATTCAGATATGTAATTGAAGTAGTAGTTTTATGATTAAAGCAATTCCAATGTAACATCTTATATCACATCCTTTTCATTAAGAATAAGAACATTTCAAAGAGTTTCAACTTCTTGCAGAATTCCAGCTCGAACTTTTGATGCAGTCACTCTGTTTTTCACGGGTATTTTCCCTCAATGCCTGATATTCAACTTGTTAATGATAATATCTTGCATTCCTGGTCAAGAATATTTGTGGCTCTGGATCTTTCATTATGTTTTTTTCTAAAATTTTCTTGCATTTCTGTCATGATGCTAATGAGAATCTTTGTGCCATTTTTTAAAACTTCCTGCAGGCTAGTGTCTCCGATGGAGAAATTACCAGTTTCTTGTCTAAGGTTATGATTGGTGGGTTCTTTTTAAGGTAATCTTCTTAGTTTTTCACATACCAAGGATCTAGGTTTATATACATAATTTTGTAAAGTTTATCTGGGGATTTAAAGTGTGGTTGAGGTTAAGTACAATTTATTGGATACAAGACTAAGTTTAAACATTTAGGCACATGGTATTTCTTGCCATTCATTATGATAGAATTAGTTGGTGATCAGGTAGTTTACTTTTGTTACAAAGTAGCTTGTTTGTGTTGTGCACTTGTAGCTTTTCATTTTATTGTTTTTTGCAGACACAGAGGCAACTCAACTTTAGTATGTTATGGTGTAATTTTGTTTTAAATATTTGTACTGCAGGGATACCTTCTCACGCCCTCCATGTACTTT